CACAAGGTCTTTGGTTGGGTTGAATTTCAGATTCGGGTGATTGAAATGGAAAGGATGCAGAAGGTTCTTTGGAAAAGGGTTTTATGTTGGTTTCATCATAAATGAGTTGATACATTCCGTATTGCAAACATATACAATTTGATAGTTTCAACGTTTAACATAATCGCAAGAACTTATTTTGTACTGTAACTTCAAATATTGTAATACTTCTGAAAATGTGTTTATATATGTTATATATTTCACCAAAATGGGGGTTCACCTTTATTATTAATAATGTCCTAATGTTTTGGCAGTAGTTATCATGTTCCATCGCAATGCTTCTGTTGTCCTTGCAAAGATACCAACCTTATGGATAGATATACGGAAATTTAAAAACGCTCCCATAATCCAGTAACAAGGTCTCGCCTCAATACAATTTACCCTTCCTAAACTTGAAAATGCTACTGATTTATTTTGTACAATTTATATGTGATTCACCATAAAGAGATAATTAAGAGATTAAAGTCAGCCTACCCCTTCCAAAAATCACTCAGTCACCAAATCCAAGTGTCAACGACCAGTTCAAAGTGTTTATAACTATCTTTTCAACAACGACCACCATTTTGCACAACAAAGAGATCGCCAGAGCCGGGCGACGGACAAAATTCATTACCAAAGACCTGAGCCCCAACGACCCGACATTAGTCATCTGTGAGAGGCAGACAGACACGACCAATCGACTACAATGAACTTATCGCGCCTATAAAATCAATCAACTTTTAATAAAAAATAAAAATATAAACGGGCAACAATAGCAACAATAAAGTGCTGCTGGAAAAGGAGTTCAGTTTCCGCACATATGGATCAGATCGGCCAGTGACTCATCGAGTGGTCAAGTCGAGAACGAGCCGAACCCAAACCGAAAACCATAAATAAGCTCAAATATAAATAATTTTTAGTTCCCCCCTGTCGAATTCGCCCGTCTTCCTGGCTCGCTGCTTATTTGCCCATTCGGCTTTGTTTATACAATAAATCTACCTGAACAGAGGGCCTCTGCAACATCTAATAAGGTGGGGACCAGGCCAGAACGAAAACCATTATCCGATTGATCGCGACTTGATGTACCCTAAAAATAATGAGAGTCTTGTAATTTAATATAAGTATTTTTAAGCAAACATTTAGCATTACTTTAAAGTTATTTGCATTTGTTTTAAGGGTGTATATATTAAAGATATAAAATATTACATTAGAATTAGAAGTATTATTTCTAAGTCTTCTTTTGCCACATGTTCTTTTATAACACACTTCACACATTATATATTTAATATGTTATTTAATACAAATGGGCCAATATATATTTACGTATGGTTTATTTTCACTAAGATCTCCTCTTTAAAAAGATAATAATTCCTTATCCAACTTTCTCTAACGACTTGGTACACCCTCAGCTAGGGTATAAAAAGAGATGGCCCAAAGTGGGTCTAGTCTGGACCAAACTACCTGCAGTCCATGAGTCATCCAAGCGAATCTTGCAGTTCGGCACACAGTTAAATGAAAACAATTCGTGGCCCGATATGATTAGCAAGTCCCTCAAAGATCGCTGGCCACGTTCAGGTAGTTAGACCGAAAAAACGACTGCGACCCTGGCCCTGTAGCCTGTCCCCAAAAGCTTCCAAGATCTTCACTTCACACATCAAAACTTTTCAGCGGGATCGTGCAGACGTCTGGAGAGTCTATACCTTGCCAACGAATGACTCACCGCAGATCGCACCAGATCAAAATACACTCCATCCCACAATCTCCTCTGGGCTTTTCTTACACGACCGCGAACCTGGGGATACTGTTTTTGTTTTAATGCGAAACTTGTGTTTCTGCTGGCGTCTTTTGTTGTGATTGCGGCTCGAAGGCGATTTAGTCAGAAAAACACAAATTATGAGTGCGATCAGCGCTGGAATGGGTTCAGAAGTGGCTAAATTTCTTAATTAAACTGGTGTGAAACGAGAGCTGCGCGTCTATAAACCTGTATATATTATATGCAAGACCCTTGACATTTTTACGACATTAATATTGCTTCAGACAAACAGTTGGTTTATTAAATGACCTGTTTTCTCAACGAGTCCTATATTGTTGTTCTCAGGAGATAATATATTTAGAAATAAAAAACTGTTTTTAATGGTTACATTTATTAGGAAAGTATACCAGTCGAGTTACAAATGTTTCAGCAAAAACGGAAAAAACATTGTTTTTCCTAAGATGTTATTAAAAAAAAAACTTAATTTACTATATTCAAGACTTCTTATAGACTGTACGTCAATGTCAATTAATAATATATTATAATAAACTCTAAAAATATCATTTTAGTTGTAAGCAAAACTTAGTAATCATTTTCTTGCAAAGTAAAAAAAATGATGTGAAAAAAAATAATGTAGTATAAAACGAATTCGTTTTCTATTCCGTTCTCAGTAGAAGCATCCCACGCAGCTGACGATATGAAAAGGGTTACTCCATCTGCTATTTTAGGCATTTATTGCATTGATGATGATAGATTCATGGGGCTACTGCAATTTCTAAACATATCTGCTGGGTATCGAATTAAATTGGCGCGTTTTTCATTTGCAGCAATATTTTTTTCAGCCTGTTTGTACAGCGCAGTCAGCGGGAACGGGAGCCACATTTTATGCAAAAATCTGATATAGAATATTCGCTCTCAATGAATTTTAGGTGTAAAATATTTGCTGTGATGCAAATTACAACTTTCAAAGGGAAGGCGTTACCAGTGCAGGCGTGTTTCAAAACGGAATTTGTTTATTTTTAGTATGTGTGCAGGCTTTTATTAAATTTAAAGCGGCAGCCAATTGTTTGGATAAGGTCTGGTTTATACATTGCCTGAAAATTCATTCATTGGTTTTTTAAATTGTAACGCTGTTATTTTAAGTAAGCGATCTGTGGTATGGAAAACCTGTAAGAAAAATGTATTAATCGTTTGAAACAGATAAACCAATTTTTAGTCCCCCTTACCAAGGCATTTAAACGAATTTCATCTGTAGTGAACGAGTTTAAGCTCCTTGTTTTCCTGAGTTTTTCGTTTAATAGCATAATTATTCAAATGATACTTTGTAAAAATGTCTGCTTGCATGGGGGAAAAATATTGTTAGTCTTTCAGTTTGTCTACCACATGCTGAAAAACTTGTAGTAAGGGAATCGAGCTGATGTAAGCAGACAATACTTAGTTCTTTGAGCTTCGGCATTATTGGAAAATCATCCAAGATGGTACAGCAGCGAAACCGCAGTTCTTTTAAGACTGGAAAGTCCAACGCTTCGTCTTCTTCCTCTGAAGATATAAAGAAGCCTTTCATACTCAAATAGGTCAGCTTTTTTAGTGGCGAAAATGTTTCATAAAGATTAATAGGCTTGGGCAAATTTTCGGCATACCCCTCAATATCTATATTTTCTTGAAACCACTTGACCATTTGATACTCAGCTGAGAAAATCAAAATTTAAAAATAATAACTAAGTAGTTGAGGATGAAACGTACCTTGAGGATCGAGATTATTTTCAAGCGCTATTCTCTCCAAATTGGGAAGATCGTGCAAAAATTCAAGAACTTCCGGTGTGGCATTTACGATAAAAATGTCAACTTCCTTAAGATTTTTCATGTTTCGAAGGAAATTTCCTACAATTTTTCGGTTCTGGTAACATAAATGCAAGCTTATAAACCGCAGTTTGGGGCAATACATTTCAATCAAGTTCAACGGCGGGTTGTCATTATCGTATTTATTTGTGTGGATAACTTCAATGCTTGATCCACATAAAGGCAAAAAATCCTTCCAAATACGAGCTGGAGCCTCATAATCAACTAAGCACGTATATTTATTTCCGCAATGGTGCTTAAATGCTTCAGTAAAAACTTCATCAACTTTGGCCAATTGCAGCTTGTCTTCCAAGCTTTCAAGCGATTCAAATATTAGATCAAGAATTTCCAGAGGTAATTTTGCAAGTTCTGCCATTTTGCCACTTTATTATACGAAGCACGTGCGGAAATAAGTAGACAGCCTTGCTTTCTTTTTGTTATCGGACTTTCGATAGCTTTAAGTCAAGGTAACACCGAAGTAATTTCTTAATTTTGTGACAAATGGAACAATATTATATCCGCTGGGTTCTTTTTTGCGGAACGATGGGAAGTCTTGAAGATGTGAGTTCCACTTAATACCCGGTTTACAATGGCACTGTTTGCTAAATGTACACGCACTACCTTGCTATAATTAAAATGAAGGTCCGTTTACACATTAATCGAGTTATACGAATATATTGTGTTATTTTTCAGTATATTTCGTATATAAACATAAAATAGCTGTAGTGAAAGGTGATATGCTTTATAAGATACAATAAATAAAGGCGCTGTGTTCTTTCGTATCAATCTGGATTTTAACGAAGACTCATTATTACAAATATATCAAAAATGAATTAATTCCCGATTAAATAATTAATATTTTTATTACTTACTTAAATTTAATTTGAATAGAACTACATAAATTTAGAAATACTATTAATAAGAATTCGTTGTTTCCACATCTAGGTATTTTGGAGCTCCAACTGTGAAATCACCAAAGGAAAAATTAAATCTTTTCATACATATATCTCTTAAAGTTTCTGTCAACCAAAAGTAGGAAGACAATGTTAAAATTGATAAAGAATTTCAAGAACTCGATATCTCACATTCTTATTCATTGCAAGTGAAGTGTAGAGATGCCCTAATCGATTTATTGACCTTCAGCCCTGGAAAATATTGTAATGTTATTCACATCTAAATGAAAGTTAAAAACGTGTTTTGTTTATCTTAAAATAATGTTTGACGGACAAAATTTGATACAATTACATTGGAAGACTTCTAATAATTTTGATTATCTCATACATTTTCAGTGCAATTAGAGGAGCTGTCAGTAAATTGTCAACCTTCAGTCACACGAGTATCATGCATTATTCAGGCCGATAAGCCTAAGAACCGTTCGATTTCCAGTCAACAAGTATTCGCCAATATATTTTTAACTCACCACCGTGCAAGTTGGTCAAGCTTCCAAGCTGTAAACAAAATCTAATTCAAGGATGTCGACTTCTTGTACAATCACAGTTGGGGGGTAAGTTGTTTTTGTAATTTTTGTTTTTAGTTTATTTTGACATTGTTCAATGCGCATACATAGTTATATAATTTCTAGAGCCCATGAGGGCGTAAAGTAATAGTTCATTTTTCTTTATTATCTTCTCGGGTAACATTAGAGTAAAAACCCGAAGTGCTAATAATAATTTCGATCAGCAATTAGCACTGGTCGCTTTGAACATAAAAAACTGCACCAATTGCTTTTGGCGCAGAGCCTTCAATTGCTTTTTATTAGCATTTCGATGTGCCTTGATTTACGCCTGATCGGGTATAATTTTTACATCGACAACAATTTTATAGGGTGGGCTGTTCAAATTCTAAAATTTATTGCTTTTCTGAACTTTTGTTTTACTACTAGATAGTTCGTTTCCATAGAATATAAAAAGTTCTTGTTTTTTTTTGTTATTAACTTCCCCCACTGAGAATGGCACCCAAGAGGAAAATTATTTTTATCACCATTCATTGAGAGACTTTCCATGCGCTATATTATTTGGCACTTTGCCAACTGACTTCGCCATAGATTCGCTTATAAATATTTTTAGTGCGCTACGCCCCTTTTTTTGATAATTATTTCCCAGCTCACGGATGAACGCGAATGCCAACACTTTTCAGACAAATGGCTTTTAATTGGAAATTTTAATAAATATTTGAATGGGTTAAATCGCAAGAAATCACATTTTATTATTATGTAGTAGGCCTTTTTGTTTTGTTTATTTTCGCATTCACAAATGCTTTACCTTTGTGATTACCTACTTTCTTTATTAATAAAACTATGAAGAAAGTATACACAAGTATGTATATTTAACCCTTTGTCTCTCTGTCTCTACTTTCAGAGATAAAGCTCAATAAGTCCTTTTTTATTTACTATCAAGATAAAGTCAGTTTAATGAAAGGCTTCTGTAAATAGCCATGTGAATGAAAATTCATATTTTAAAATGGAATTCAAATCTTTTACATTTCAATACTATTGCCGCCATTTCAGCAACAGTCCAGTTAATCCCATTTCAAAACAAAAACATCCACAATCACCTACCCCAACAAGGCCATTAAATGTGCCAACGGTGACCCACTTTCACTGCCCAGAGAATGTGAACAGCTGTCAGGCATTGTGAAATATTGGACAACCCTTGAGACATGCCCAGAAACGATAAACCAAGAGCCAGTGGACAGAAGACAGGGGCCACCAACGCCTCCCATCGCTCATCCGACTGAAAGCGAAACAAAAGACGGCAACCGGCAAACATGGGGAATACTTCCGATTCAGGACCGCGATCCCGATGTGGACTGAAAGTGCGATCGCCCACACATACGGAATGAAACAAAGGATCAGCTTGCCGGGCGATGATTAACTCGAATCGGGTGAGAATGTTTTCTTTCATTTGAATTAAAACTCGGAGTACTCAACTAATCAGCTAATCTAAAGCTTTTGGTGAATATACTTGAAACATGAATTAAATTATTTTCAAAAAAACCAATCGACATGTTGTGCATACAGAACATCTGACAGTTTAAGACTTAAGTTCTGTATTAAATTAACTGCATGTCATCTAAAACTAAACAAGAGTTAATATTTGTTTATCAAAAGAGATACCCATACTTAATCGAGAGTCCAAATTTTTCGGATTACGCACAAAAATATAACTATAAGTCATTTTATTTAAAGAACTTAACATTACAAGTCCCCAATTAATATATAATTATTATAAAAAGAATTATTGTCAAATGTACAGCAACTCTTTTTGTGTGTATGTATGTAAATACTGTTTAGACACCTTTGAATTTGAATCATAATATATTTACTTTTAAAATTTCATGCACGTTTCTCCCATTGATTTGGGTCCCTGACATGATGAAGAAGATTAGTGTTATTTGTTCAACTAAATTTAAATCGCACATTTTTATAGTTCTGTAGTTCCAATTTAAGCGGAATTTAAGGCTTAGATTTTTCACCTCGATGAGCTATGAGTTATGTATATTTAAAACTTACTTTGATTTAAGTGAAATGCGCGAAACAAAAAGCTTTGGATTGCTTACATTGTAATGTATCGACTGTAAATGTACGCAATGATTCTCGATCAGCTTAAATATGTAGAATTCTATAGTTGATCTATAAGGTGCCATTTATGTATATTATGAACTGGAAACCCGCAAGTAGTCAAATTGATCGCCGTTGTATTCTGGTAGTTAATTTTATGCTTGAACAAATGTCTAATATGTTTTGTCCAGTTTTAACCTATCTTCGAAATTAAATTTTTGTAATATATGACCTTGCTCTTCAAGAAGGGTAAGGTTATTGGCTTTAAAACTCTGACAGTTTTGTGTTGTAGCTCATCGCGAGCTTTTAAATAATTCTCATATTTAAGTTCATACAAAAGTTGACTGATAGCAATTTATAATTTATTCATCGAATTGCGACGAACTTTTAATAAAATGAGTCATATATATTTCCATAAATAAACAATAGAAACTTTGTTTACATTTGTTATCATGTATTTCTTATAAATACAAATGTATTTAGGGCAAATGATATGGTAAATCATTGTTATACATTTCTTTATATTGGTCTAGTTTTTTTTTCTAAATGAATCTGTTATTTTATTTAAACAATTTAAGAGAAAGTGTAGTTTAGGCTGACATTTATTGAAGGGTATATAAGAATTCGATATCTGTATTGAGGTCTTTAGTCATATCGAAGGCGGATGAGGCACTTTTATCGTTGCAATCGACGAGCGTCTTCGTTTGCGTACAAGGCAATTTATTAATTATGCATAAATGGCAAAGACCCTGCTGAAGTTGGGCGAGGGATGTGGGGGATTTGGGGGCTGGCAGCTCGGCGGAAAGTTCAAAAAGCAATCAAGTTCTGAGTGCCGACAGTTCTCAGCCGATTGTACTGTTATGCAAACAGAAGGACCGTCGGCGGGACGGGATCGGCGGACTTTATAGCCTGACCAACTGAAGTTAAGCTGACAAAATGCACTTCAACTGGAATCACCTTAAATGGCAGACAACACACGTCTTTTGTCGTTAAGCATTTTATGGTTTTATCCCTTAGATGGCAAAAGTTTTCATCGGAAACCATTTGACTGGTCCAAAGTTTTTATTTGCTCCCCTCTTCAATTTGGGCGTAATAAATTATTGTATGGGGAAAATAAGAGAAAAAATTAGAATCCATTACTAGGTCTTCTACCTGCGGTGTGAGATCCTCAAACTCCGATTCCCTGCCATGTGTTCTCAAGTGCCCCGGTCCTATCTTTTCTGAACACCCCGACACCATTTTTCTTTTCCCCTTTTCGGGTTCTTCGCTCCTCCGCAAAGTTTTAAATTTCTTGGAAATAAAAGCCTGGACATTAGTTTTCGTCCTTCCCTTTTCTATCGCTCTACGCTCGGATGCCCCTTTTTATTGTTTCTGTCTTTTTTTGGGTTTTCAGGACAGGCAAAATTTGGCAGCTACCTAAGACCAGAATTCATATAGCTAGTGGGAGTGAGACAGACAAGGGGAAAAAGAGAGAGATAGATGCTGAAGAAAATCTAAGGCACGTTACGGTTGCCTAGTCTTATAATGGTACTCTTCTAATGCCTGTTGATCACCACGAATATGTCAGGTGTTTTGTGTTCCTAACACATTATTAATCTAACCAAGTATTTAAAATTTGATTTTAGTGTTTGTAAGCCGAGTTTCAAGTTATCATTTTAAAACTTGCGCTTAAAGGTTTTATTATTACATTATTTTTTCCATTTGTATATCATTATCCTCATTTTAGATAAATTGTATTACATTTTTATGTGATGTATTACAATGATAATAAATATGAACATATTTTCGATCATACTGGATTTTGTAGGTACCCCTAAAATCATTAATGTGACAGAGTATCTTGGATAAAAGAATTTTTTAAGTAAAATATTATTTTTAACATTTTTATATTGTTGTTACTTTTTTTGGATAAATTGTATTAAATATATTTTCTGCTCTGTTAAATTGTTAATAAATATAAACATGTTTTCACTTAAATTGGATTTTGTAGGAGAAAACCTCTATAATCTTTAATTTTGTCAAAAAACCTCGGTTTCGACCTTTTTATAATATTATAATTTTAATAATGTATTATACTTTTTATTAATATTTATTCTATTTTTGGATAAATTATATCGAATATATTTTCTACTCTATTTAATGTTAAAAAATATTTACATTTTATCGCTCATACTAAGTTTCTTAGGGAAATACCTCTATTATCTTTAATTAATTCAGAGTATCTCAGATTCGACCTTTTCGAAATCTTTTCCTCGTCTTCCAAGTGTTATCTGCTCAGTCGCTGTGCCATCGACGCTCTGCTTCTTGGCCTCTGTCCGTGCGTTTATTTAATTTTTTATTCGGGCTTCACTTGTCCCTCATACGCCGTGTGGTTGTTTTGGTTGTTGTAGTTGCTGCTTGGCTGCGATACGAAACCGTGCAGGTGTCCAATATTTTCTTTTATACCGCGTCATCGGCCCAAAGAAAGAAAAAAAAAATCGAAAAAAATCCAAAACTAGTTCTAGATTTACAGTCCCCTTTCCCCTCGACGCCCCTGCCGCGTCTCGCTTTATTTCGCCCATATTTTCGATTCGATTGCGTATAACAAGTTTAGCGGTCTCGCTGTCCCCGCCCCCTTTTTTTCGAACCGTTCTTCGACTTGATATAAAGTGCTTTGCATCCATGCAACGTCGTTTCCAGACCCCACAACTCCCCTTTGGGTCCACCCCCCTCTCCAACTTTTAAAGCCCTTTCCTCTCCATACAGACATATATTATTGTTCGCTTTTAATTTTTGTTTTGATTCTCGGCTTTTGAAACTCGTGCAGTGAGAAAAGATTTTCGATTCTTAAAGACAATACATTGTATTTTTAATCAGAAAAGAACGAGTTACTGAAATTCGAAACAAAATGTATCTAAAATATTTTTTCTAACTAACTATTATTTTGTATCTTCAAAAACCTTGGCTTTGTTAAATTGCTTTATAAAGTAAAGTACCAAGTTGGAAAATGTTTTCGTATTTATACAGTAAAAACTGTTTTTCCCAGTGTGATTTTGATTAATATTGTATACATGTTGGACTGGGGTTCTTGGGTTCTAAGGCCCCATGTGGAGTGGCCCGTCTTCTTAATATTTCCTCCATGCCTTGTAATTACCCAAATTTGGCGTCACTATCCGTTAAAGGGTTTATTTGTTAGGATTAGGAAGGGGATAGACAGGAAAACGGTTAACTGAAATTGAAGTTTATTTATGGAGTTGCCCAAAAGGTTTCTTAAGAGGTTCGATATGTGATAGACGTTGATAAAGATATATTAAAAACTGAATTAACATAGTAAAGCCAACTTAGAATTTTTATATTATGTTTGATATACTATCTGAAGCAATATAGTCATTACTTTATGTTTCGATTCTTCAAAATGTTAACCTTGTTGTGAAACATTTTACAAATTTATTTTATTTCATTTTAAGAGTGTTTATCTAAGTAAAAAATTTATCATTTCATTTAAGCTTGATAGTCCTCATGCAGAATATTCACATCTTTCCAGTACACATGGTCACCAGAGATCTCCACAGCTTGGGTATCGTCTTCCAGAATGCGCTCGAAGGGATAAGCCAAGGGCAATTCATCCCATCGACTGATACCCTTGCTGAAATCGCAATTAAGTTCGTCGCCCTGCCGAGCCTTGAAGTCATAGACGGTGGCCATGATAAGAAGTCGTATCTTCAGGGGATTTCCCGAACCTCCCCGTGGTAAAATCAAACGTCTAGGGAATCCACAGTTAGAAGTGGATATATTCAAGGGGAAGTCGTATTCCTCCCTTTCAGCCAGCTTCACGAACTGATGGAGTTCAGTGTATGAGATGTGGTCACCAATCAGGCCTCCAAACTCTTTCGATTTCCTCGTAATTCTGTTGAGTCCTGGATATATTACGGTTAGAAACGAGTCCAACTGATAGAAGGGCTCTCTTAGTATTGATCCTTGTCCTGGAGTGGTTAGAAAAATCCGAAAAATTGTAGATTGTGTTTTGTTGCTCGATACTTGTAGACTATAGTGGAAGTCCTTGTGCTGCAATCGAAACTGTCGTTGCTGCAAGGTAAAAGGCCACACAAACTGTCCTGCTAAGTAGAAATGCCTGGCGTGTAGGATATTACTGAGATCTACATCAACCGGCTGATCATAGGTGATCAGCGGACTTATTTGCAAATCATCGATGCGAAGATCACTGGGAATAAACATTTTCTGATTAGGGGGTTGGAACACTTGACGATACCAACGATATGACTGCAAAACTCGCTCGGCATAATAATAAAAGTCTTCTGACCTCAGAGAAGTGCGTATATCCAGTAAAAGCTCAGGTTGCATATGTTCCTCTGTGGTAAGTTTTGTCCAATCGTATGGGAATAGTTCTCCAAGTCCAATTAACCAATTGTCTTTCTCTTCCAGGTTAATATAACTACCATTACTTAGCTGAAAACTTCTAAAAGAAATAGCATCACCCACTCTTTCTTCGAATTCTTTAAGATACTCCATAATAATTTGCGTTGTTTTTGAAGAGCTTTCCTTAAAACTACGATTCTTTTTTTGTATATTCCTTACAGGCGTTAACTTCGTATAAGACAGCTTCTGTCCATAGCGTTCCAATTTATATCGTGCTAGAATTTGACTTAATTGATAGTAGCACCATTCCTGCAACTGATCTGATTTTTCCGTAGTCAAAACAATACCCATGTTTAGATTATACCAATATGACTGCCAACCAATATCCTCTAACAAATGCTGTAGTTTGTTCTTCCGTTTCTGCTGCTTCATTCTCAGAATATTCACATCGCCCATGGCCTGAAACCATTCAAGAGAATTTCGCAGACCACCTTCCAAACTTGAAGGTTCCATTTTTTGCGGATAGATTTCCTCAATATCACTTATGTTCTCGTATCTTATCCAGTTGGCAAAGTTGAAATTTCTTGCCTTTCTTACGGTTATATCATCGTGATACGTTTCTGGCCACAATTCATAGATCTTCGGCATGATAAGTGCCTGATAATCTTCCCTTTTGAGGATAATTTGCGTCAGAGCTTGGACAAAAATTCGTGGATTTAGGTGAACTCTTGCCCAACAAATATTTTGCCATAAAGTATACCAATCTCTTGCGTTGTAGAAAAAGTGATAAAGTCCCAGCGTCTGTTGATAATGATCGGCGTTTAGTGGATTGTAGTATTCATTTCGATTTAATAGTTTTCCCAAATTGAAGGCCTTATAAAACCCGGTCATGTGATCGTTGTAGACCTTAAATTTGTAATATTTGAATTAGTTATATATTTTGGTTGCTTGAATTCTTATACCAACCACATACTGTTCCTTATCGGTTACCAAGTGCTCTCCCAATGATCGCCATTGTTGGTTCATCAAAGGCTCATGTACATGATGGAGAATCTCCAGCAAAAAGCGCTGTTTTTCCAAAAAGTAGCGATTACCTAGAAGTTTTGAAGATTTAGAATCCACGCAAATAACAATATTTCCAAAAAACGCACCTATTCCATTGGCGTGAACTTCAGAATAAATATTTAGACTTAACAAAGATAAGACAACGAAAAGTCTCATCGTACTTGTATACCTCACACGATTCGAAAACAAACTGGTGGCATTTTGCAAATTGCATTTTGATTAGGCTATGTATAGCTTTCACCTATATAAGCTGGCATTATCTTTCAGTTCGCAGGGTGTCTATTTTAAAATACAGATAACCATTTTTAGACTTTCATTATGTTATTATTAGAGAAAAGGAATTGTGTTTACAGTAATTTTGTTACTTATCTTATTAAACTTTGTAAACTTGATAAAAACTAATATCATATCCATACCATTTAGAAAATAAACCGATTTGTGAAACAAACCATCTTTAATTTGGTATATGCATTGTTAATTTAATCATACCCATAATCGTATTAAGCATATCTTTTGTTCCTGAATTATTTAAACACTGGTTACTTTTATCCCCGTAATTGGCTATTGTTGATAAAGCAAATACTGGAAAACTGTAAATAAAGCGGAAAATTACCTAAGATATATCCACAGAAGCGAGTCTCATTTGCCCATTAGTCACCAAGAGTGGCACAATAATGCAAAACGATTTTCGCCAACCGAGTGGTTATCCCCGCCCACCGGCGATCACTTCCCGCTCCTGTTGCGAAAATGTGCGGACATTAAATTGCCAACTGACTCGCTTTCTGGGGTCTCTGATGTCTGATTTCTGATGGCTGCTGATGACTGGATGGCGGAAAAAAGGGCAAATTATAATACGAGAAATGTTAATTACAGTCGGCGCGACTCGGATGTCTCGGTATCTGGCCCATTGTTCGTCCAGAAATTGGCGCATTAATGTAAATCGGCAGCCAGGCATGACGGATTATAGGAACCCAGACCTAGTCCAGATGCAGGCCCACAAGTAAATTATCGTCCAGTTACGCCAGTATTATATATAAGGCACAAAGCTCTTTGTTTCCAGTCCCGTTGACAAAACGTTGCGCTTGAAGAACTTAATGAGTTGGAACCGAAACGAAAGGAAGTAACCAGTTACTCGTACCACCCTGTAACTACTGTCTTTGCGCTGATTGATTCTTATTGATGGTGCAATAGGTGGTTGGGTCGATAAGCCTGTTAGGACCGTTACCGATCGGGGAGGGCTACTGCTGCCTCATGAAAACTGATTATCAAACGTGACAAACTTCTGGTGAATATTGCCTAATCATTGTCAGGGCTAAGATATCTAGTAAAAGCACTGGAAAAATATAGGTGATACGTTCTCCCAATATTTCATATTGTCTTAAGATTTGCATACTTTAATAAAACAAACAGAAAAGATTCATTATTATCTATCAAGACTAAGATACATTTAGATATTGGGAAGAATTCTTAAAGATTTACCATATAATATTTAACAATTGAACTTTGCTTCAAGACTTTTAGGAACTTTTACTGTACTGAATTCCCACGAGTATGATTTTTTAATGATTTAAGTCTCAAATTATTGAAGTGTTACTTTTAATGTCCTAAAAATAGAGTCGTCTATTTCTTTCACTGTAAGGTATAAAATGCACTAATCCCTCCGCACGTGCATTGGCACCCCTGACTTTCCATCCCATTTCAGCCCGTCTTCGATCCTGAGTGCTTTGCATAATATCAGCACATTAACAGAGATCGCTGCATCTTGGCGCAAATTTTCAATGGGCTTGCCATCATCAAATCTCCATAAATCGTCACATAGAGGAATCCTCGGGGGCCTTGCTCCTTTCAAATGTCATCACAGAGTTTTTTGCTGGCGTTTCCGTGATCCTTGGCCCCGGGAGGCTTATGAAATGCAAATTACATTTCAATAGCGCGCTTAATGGTCCCCTAACCCGCCTCATCTACACGCACTTTGTTCTTTGTCATCGGCCTGATGATTGCCCCTTTTAGCGCATTGGAATCGTATTTAAAAAGTCATTATCGGGCGGATCCATCCCCCTACCATTTTCAGCGCATCAATCACTGCGCCTTTTGTCAACCTTCTTTTTTTGTTGGGTCATAAAACGGTTGAAGAGTGGAAATCTTAGGCACTATGCATGAGATTGGTAGGGTAGAACGCTTAATAAGCTGGTATATAGGTTTGGGGATCTCTGCTGGAGATTTTCTTATGTTCTAGGGGTGTTAGGGAAATTTTGGTGGGAGAGCTACTTAGGTTTAATGATCTCTTACTTTGACATCATCATGGTGATCCTATAAAAACAGAAGCTATATGAGAAATGTATGCATTATATAGAATAAGTTTGTTAAAACCATATACTCACTTGTAGTTAGAATCTCAGGACTTTCTATGACTCACTAGACAATAAATAACATGTTGCAGCTTAAGTGATCGCAATGACTTCAATTACCATATTTCCGCCACCTTGAAGAGGTTACCCAACAGCTTTTAGCTGCCATCTAACTATTTTCACTTACTCAGCTATCTGCCAACCTCCATAAGCTTCTTATTTATTATGACTTTTTTTTTGTGTAAATATTTAAGGTCTGACGCATACGACGGGGTCTTTTGGAATGGCATGTGGACCTCGGGCACCTCGTCAATGGCAAAATGTGTAACCAAGCACAAATGAATCATCGAAGTCGGGCCAAAAAGACCAGCCCAGACCGCAGGGCCCCCGATCGGTAGTCGGATGTTTTTAATAAGGCAAGCGACAAACAACCAGAAATTGGGTCAACCGAGATAAATACGAGTAAGTGTTGTTTAAACGTACACTTCGGGAATTATGTGATTAAATTTAAAACGTGCAGTTTAGAAGAAATTAATAAATGCGATCTTAATTAGAAGCCAAACTCTTTTGGCATGGCCTATAAAGTGGTTTAAAGTTTTTTATACCCAAATATTTTCTTTGCAAGTTTAATTAGCACAGCACTTAAAATGTATTTATATAAAGGTGCAACTGATTTGGTTTACTTCAAATATTGACCTCCAACTTAGTTTTCTAGCTGTGGTGTCTTACTATAACTCTAGGAATTTTTGAATACCCAAAGCTAGTGGGATATATATATATTTTTTAGAGTATTACTAGTAAATTCATAAACGTTTGTAAAGAATATGTCAGAATATAAATTTATAGAATGAAAAATATATTTTTATTTTTTGCAGTGCACATAAATGGAGCCGATTTCGGGAGTTCTTTTTCGAAACTTAATACACTGATGGATATGGGCAGGGAAAGGAGTCCCGAACAATGGCAGGGCTTTCATGCGAACTGTCAACTTGTCACGACAATTAAGCAAGTCGATGGCTATCTGGCTATCTGGCTATCTATCGGCGGAGCATCAGGAAACGCCCACGCATGCCAGCCGTCTTAAGCGTTAAACAAATTAAGTATCCGATGTGTGGGGGGAGGACTTATTGAAATACGACACCAATCGGAGTGGATGCATCAGGTAGAGGCGATGACCCAATTCGCCGTGCACTTGCGCGACAATTTTGGTAAACACAGAACCCTGGGCTGACCCCTTACCACCTTAAGAACCCCCATCTCCCCTTCTTTTTTGTCAGCTCCAATATTTGTTTACCATTTAGTTTATTATGCTGTGTGCGCTTTGGTTCTGCCTTGTTTGATTGCCCTTATTGGACTTCGGTTCGTTCCCTTGTGCCGTGGTGATTTTCAATTCAAGTTATGATTATTATATGTTGGGAAAGTCAAATAACGGTCGCTATAAGTCGAGCCATATGCATTCAAAGGCCCACAATTGCCTTGTTAATACGCCAAATGCCTAACAAATATCGTACATTAGTTCTCTATTGTTGACATCTATGAGAACTAAGTTTTGAATACAGCTGGATTGATGCGATATGTGCTTGGGAAATGGGCTATTTGGTCGTTATGATATTTACCTGTGAGGGTAAACATCTACGAAAATAGTTTATTCTGAAATGAATTTAAATAATGAATTAATTTTAATTTGGTTTCTCAAAAGCACATGTTAATTTTTAAGATTTTATTTTAAAACCAATGGTAATGCAACAGAATATAAAAATCAATCTTTTACATTTATTGAATATAATAAAGTTATATATTGTGCTGGTGTAGTGGGATATCAAATTAAACTAAAAATATTAATACAAAAAAAAATATTAATACAAAGGACTTATAGATTTTTGTAAGCATTTTAGTTATCAATTATTAAAACCAATCATCCTTCTATTTAAATATTTATTTCTTCAACTATCGTGGTTGTCTTAAATTTAAGCCTCCCGGGGACATTTTGAACTACTTTTTATTCTGGCTTAATGGACCTTTAAATTTAAAATTCATTTTCTGCCCTCAATCCAGAATCACCGTCGCCTCATCAGCTGCACAGTTAACCCAAAAGAGTTGAAAGCGCAAATCATCGCGAGGATTAACACCAATCGACCAGAGTCACCGTGGATGTGGATCTCTGCCCACCTGAAAAGTTCCCATCGTTTTACGTGATTTGTTCTGTGTCAGTTTCCTTTTCTGCGTGTGACAAATTCACGGGGAGTGACTTTCGTAAATTGCATTTTAATAATTTTTTGGAAACGCTTAATCACTTTTCATTTAAAAACGAAATCATGTATCGTATAGAGCTTGACGGCTTTGCAAAGAATCTTTTGATATAGGTATCCTTCTAGGTGGGATCATAATACCTTTAAATACTTTTCCCCACTGCTTTAAGTGCAAAAATCAAAAACAAGTCTCCCTGTTGTCTGCTACAGCAGAAATCTAAAAATAACAAACAAAAAAAAGATAAAATATTGTAAACAAAATTTTCATTCCCCCTTGGCGCAGAAAATTCTTTCTTTCTGTTTATAAATACAACTGCTGCGCGATTGTCAAAGTTGACAATTTATTTTTAATCAACAATACGCAAAGCAAAAACTCAGCCACAGTCCGCATATCTTGAGGATACCCACAGCTCAATGTCATTCCATTTTCCCCACTTTGTACGGGCATCTCGCAGATACATTTGAAGAGAGATCCAGCCCTCTTTTGAGTAAGGAAACTATATTAAAACAGAAGGGTAGATCACCTTCAAATGGAATTTGCGGTGGCAGATAGCTTAGTATTTTTAAAGACATCCAATTTAATTTTTTGAATTTTCGCTTGCCTTCAATATAAGGGTTTCTTACTTTAATGATTTCATAGATCGGAGATGTTACTATCATTCCAAGTTAATTTTTGATCTTAAAATATTGAACATTATAATAATATTATTAATATTACAAATTGTGTCTCTTTCTGAAAAGGGTCTCCTAAGCTAGTGCTCCTAACCCACTTTGGAATGGATCTCAGCGACCCAGAAGTGCCACCCAGCCAAGCGAATCGATTGCTCCAGAGAGCCACTGACCATCCAGCCAGATCCCATCCCTTGGGCGGCTCTTTGATCCCATTTACAGAGCGCGTTTGGAAGTTGCAAACTTACTGGAGCATGGATGAGATTCGCTTTCGTTTTGCGGATCGATTTCAGCTGGGAAGGGGGAGAATGATTACATAGCCTCACTGCCACCGAGGATCACACGTTTTTAGTTTTTTTTTTGGGCCAGTGCTGGTGAGCAATTACAGTAATCCCAATTAATACGCGGCAGTGGATCGGTTTCCTTCGGATCGTTTCGATGCGAGATCGCACAGATGTGGCGCGTGCTGCATGCCAGCCCAGCATCGTATCGTATCTGTATCTTTCTCTGCTTCTGGCCAATACTCGCCCATCGGGCCACACTTATTATTGTCCATCTATTTGTCTTTGATCAATCTCTGCAGTTCGCAGCCGCAGCGGCCAGTAGCTGAAAGCCTCGGACCCGCAATTATAAATGGCAGCCAGCCCGCAGAGTTGGCCACCATAATTGCCCCAAAGGGGAAATCGGCTGCAGTAACTACTCCAACTTTGTAGCTGGCTGCAGACACGCTAACAACTTTGGTCTTTTCCTAGGCGGTCGTACAATATGCGAGGCGTTCTACGACTCTTATCGCACAGTTCTAACTAACTGCAGGCGATGCTCTGATGAGGGTAATCCAGGCACTTGCATCTGCAGTGCCTTTCTGGTCACATTCAAAATATCAAACGATCTAACTGTTTTTCTTTCATGATTCAGGACCAAGGCAATTTACATCACCTAGAAGTCATCAACTGATTTACAAGAAAAGTCCATTAAAGACTTTTGTATTAACTACTTATCCAATTCGGAATCTTTTTAGGACAATTATTAATAATGAACATATATCTACACCTATTGAATTGGTATGTACGAGTTGAATACATTATTTATAAGACTTATTTTTATCAGGTCATTAGAATAAATATGATCCATAACAATGGATGTCGTAGGACCGGGGACTGGATACTCGATTTAAAAATGATTTCGAAATGAATGTTTTCCTACGCACGGAAAAAACCCGAGAATCTTCCTGAAGAACCCTTCGGTGGACCATACCCAAAATCAATGCACTTGGCCAAATCGATCGAGCCCACTTAAATATGGGTTGTGCTCTTGGCCGCGATTTGCGATCGGGTTCGAAGTCGGCTCTGCCATACGTAGCCCGGCCCTTTCCCCACCGACCTGGCCAAGCTCAGGCATATAATTTCGTTGACGCGCAGAATAAATGATAAATGCAATCATTATAAGAAACACAGCCACAGCAGAGCAACGAAAACTTGGCGAACACGAACGCATGATTAAAACTTTGGCAAGATGTGAGGCGATGGGATGAGGGCTGGTGGATCCACGATGGAGTCCGCATTCTGAGGCGTTGATGCGGAGCTCAAGATACTTTCTGCACTTAAAGAAATTTGTAACATTTCATTTTTGTAAAGCCTAAGAGGAGCTAAAAAAAACTCTGAATCCGAGATGGCACAACACGCCTTCTAGTGTCGACTCCTTTATTTGCGTATAACTTTTTAAAGAGTGCTCCGATTTAAACAGTTTTTGGTATGTAGATCGGTATTGCTAGTCACAACAAAATCTCATTTACACTTTTACAAAATCTTAGACAGACATTTGGATATCCAAGATGGCACACCACGCCACCTGGTGTGGATTCCTTTATTTTCGTATAACTTTTTAACGAATCTATGGAATATGATACTCTATGAGTAATTATGTGCAAACTTTGTTTTGTAACTATTGTTAAATCCCAAATTTTTCTGAGTGTCGGTCTGGGGACCATCCAATGCGTGCGGCCGGTTTCACCCCGATCCCTCTGAGTTCGATCGTGATACGCTGACCGAGTGCAGCGCGAATGTTTTATGACCAGTCCCGACCCAGCCCGGCATAATTTGTTAGCCCGGCCGAGTGGTCCGAGGATGCTGGATCTGGATCTGAATCTGGGGCCATGCCTCCTCGGTCCTTTCCTGTCCGCCCCTTTGCACAGAAGCTGCTCCACTCTGCTCGATTGCGTATAATTTTTTTTCGTTTCTGTTTTTATTTAATTTTTTTTTTTGGGTTTTGCTTCTTCATTGGCATCATTTGCCTGCGGGGCATAATTTTTGATGGGCTTTTGTCTGCTTCTTTGGAACCCAAAAGCCAAAAGAGATATTGTAGCGGGTAGTAGGGTACCTGGGTAAAAAGAAGGTAGTTTGGTTGAAGAAATGTTTTTGGTTGAGAATTGTAGATAGGGTTTTAGCTATAACCAAAGGTTAAAAATGGGATAAACACTAAAACTATTGAGTAGTATTCATAATTATGACGAGTAAATATCTTATTTTCAAGGATCTTTAATATTTCAAGTAAGAAAAAGTTTGGAAACACATGTAACTTATATTATAAATTATAATGAAATATAATATTATATGACTGGTAACCCGGAATTATTGTGCCTTACCTATTGCCACATAAATGTATTAAATTTTCATTTTAGAATTTTCTTAAAGGGACTTAAGGGTATTTCCAGCCTGCTTAGTCCAACCACTTGCTCCACATTCTGTGCGAGTCCTAACAGCCCCTCCATGCGCATCAGTCTGAAACTCCAGGCCGCTTCTCAATCGTTTTTAGTGGACAGTGCGCATTTGGTTATTCCCTTGCATATGATCAGGAAATATGCTACACATTTTCACTTTATGAAGTTCCCTCCGCAGAACCCTAAACCCCTTTTCATAGCCTCGGGCACCACAGGAGCAGCAGCGGTGAAGCGACAGCGAACGCCCCTCGGGCCTCAAATGTCGGACTCAGCATGAATATTTTATTTGGCGAAAAAAAGGTTGGATGGATCCAGCTGAGTTACACGCGAAGAAATACTATCTTCTTAAGATGGCTATGAAAACGAAAATCTTCGATCTTACTGATTTCATTACTGTTCAAATATCTACCTTAGGTTGTTCTTTAGATTGTGAGTATATTGCATCTTTTTTATTTTAAACATTAGCTTTTAAATGATCGAAATTGGTTTCTGTGTAGACTGATGGGTAGGGTGAGGATTGGTTTAGGGATAGCGATTGCGATTGGGGCCTGGGCCTGGGACTGGTATTGG